TTGCATTCTATACTTTATCTCAATATATTGGAATTGCCTCATGCAATGTTCTTATATTTATGTTGTGTCATCGCAAACATAATCTTATTCCATCAAGAAGCATTAATTTGGGCTCACGCAAGAAGGTGATTAAACAAATCGGCTCACCACACTACCATTTGCACCCTTGTTCAACAGATGTTACTTATAGGGGATTTATCTGTGGGCTGAGATACTAAACTTACCCGTAACCGTAAAGTAGTACGACAACAAGAGAAATTATCCAATGAAAATCACATTATCTCTCGGACACACCAAATGTTCTCTTCAAGTAAAAACTCGTTACATAATAAATGCTTCAACAAATGATTTACCTTAGTACAGTATCTATAATCAATATTTTCACTCTACCAAACTCTTCAATTTCCAATCATTGTACTATACTTTAATTTTATTTTTATGTTGTATTTATTGAAGGATAACTATTCTTGGCAGTTTTTTACTATAACTACCTAATTATGATAGCATGAGTGACAAAAGCACTCCAAATAATGTTAATACTGTTCAATGAAATGGCGATCATACATAGTAGGTATTTTAAGCCAAGTATGAATGGAGATGAGTGTAGGATGAGCGGCGCGATCTTGTAGTCTTTTTAGTGACTAAGGCCGACATTCCTTAGACACAGCTGTTAATTAATAGCCCATACAGCTAATGGCAACTAAGGAACCTACAGTTTATAGTGGAATCCGAACCACATTTTTCCTTGGTATATACGAATTGGTCTAATTATCAGGATAGTAATGCGGATAGTCGTAGTACTCACTCGTGCGGACGTTAATCCACACCAGGGAGTATCGCATCCACAGTGCATGCCTATAAATATCCACAATTCGTGAACTCCTAGTAGCTGGATTACAGGGCGACAAAACAATTATAACCGTTATTTATTTCCCAAATTTAAGACACTACTCAGAAATCAATCTTCTAAAGCAGTGTTCCCTTGAACTTTCTCAATTCCATTTCACGACGGAGCGTTTTTGTACATTTTTGTTAGTCTTTGTTACATCGACATTACACTCGTCGCTTTGTAGTGTAAATGTCCCTTGGAAATTGAAGTTGACCCTCGATAATCCGATATAAACAAGGGCGAAACGTTCAGGGGGGGGGGTTGTGGGGGTGGTTTGGTGCATTATTGTATAACACCCCCTAAAATAGTGTTAACTGTGAAAGTGTGAATTGGTGGTTGAAATCTATTGTTTTACGTCATGGCTTTCAATCCGTCTGATGGGAAATAATTGAGTACCTACCGTGATAGTGTCAACAGGAAACAGCTGTTCTTAATCTTGGCTTTTGTGGTTCTGTCTTTGGCTATTGAACTAGACACTCCATCCCCATGTTAAAGTTGTGGCCAAATTTTAAAATCAAACCCGTCATAGTTGATGTGAGCCATCGACAGATTGAACTGGTCTAAATTACTAATTTCTGTCGAATAGTCGAAATCGTTTACCAAGTCAAACTAATGGAATAACTTAATGTGAGCTAACTGATAACTTGATAATACAAAATACTGTAGGAAATAGAGTTTTAAACACCAGCGCATTATGTGACTAGTTCACACAACTACGCCCTTTTTAATAAAAAAATGTGACAACTGGATTGACGGGATGTCTAGTAAAAGTCAATGCTAGTATACATCAGTATCCAATGGTATTGTCAATTTATTCCGTGGTAGGCCTTACTGTCTAATAAAACAGCTGATCTAAGTCTGTAACAAAGTTGAACAAAGCTAACAGATCATCTCACATCATTCTACACGCACAATTAAATACGCACCTCAGTGGTGTTGGTGTACCTATCTCCGAATACTATTTCCAGGAATTTTTACAATCCATATAAAAGCAGGACAAATTCTTTTAGTTTACTAACTATATTTTCTGTCTTCAAATTCGATGACAAAATAAAACGGTGAATTTATTAACAACTTTTGTACTCTGTTAAGAGTTTAATCAAAGATGGCACATTTTAAAATTTACCTTATAATAAGAAAAAAAGATTAGACGACACAGGTACATTCGAACTTAACCATAAATGAACTGCTTGTTAAATAATTTACAATTTCTCAATAGGATGAAAATTATACTTTTTTAATTTCAAAACCTGGATACTTAATTACACCTAATCATGAAAACAACTGTTTATTTGTTTCTGAACATTCAAATATGAAGAAACGCTTCACTTAATCCGAGTTTCAAATAAGTTTTAAGACGTTCGTTTTACCTGTGTCTTCACGTCTAGACAACTTGTTAGCTTCAACTTCAGTAACAACAGAACAGCTTTCGCAGTAGATGAAGTTTGGGAGAGAATTGTAGAAAACATTTTGACTGTATTTCAAAAGTTGAATAAGCACCCATTTCCCCAAATGGGTTGAAAGCTGTACCTATTGTTTACACACTTCTAAAATTGTTTGTGTTTAACTATTCAACAAAATTAATTTGAACCATGAGTACATTATGTCTGTGGTTTTGTTTGTACAGTACTAGTTGATAATTTTGATATTTTCTTTCAATGCCACCGTGTAAAATCTATCATAAATAACATAAGCCTATTCTACATTTCTTAGCAATTTTTTTAGCTAATAAAATCCTTTTTTGCCACTTAAAAGCCACATAGTGATATAATATATTTACTAAGTAGCTTTTACCTAAAAATGATTAATAGTGTTTCAACAGTATACTTAAACGCTTACGTTTTAGTATTTTCTAAATTACCAAAATACTTTAAAACAACGAAGAACCAATGAAAACCAAAACAACTACAGTAACTAGTTTATCAGTTGACGCAAACCTTCTAAATTTTCAAATTGTTCTTGACTAAAATTCATACAATATTTTAATTTGATTCGCCATTTAAGGAATAGGCCCTACCATAGGTCTTATGGTAAGATTAAGACCAAAAATCCGTTGACTTTCTTGTTTTAATGACACTGAGATCATAAAAAACAATGTCAGTTCAAATATTAGCACTACATCTCCAACAATCATCCAATTTTGATGAAAATTAGTACAAACTTATAAGTTTATTCGAACGAGTTCACGAACCGACATGATCGGATTGTGGGAGTAGGATTTTATGGGCTGCAAATTGATTTCCCTCATTTTAATCCTCAAAGTAGATGATTTTTCTTTCAAAAAGATTTTCTAGTGCTAAAAAAAATTAGTACATGGAAGCGTTGTTGTACACTTATTGGTTATGGAGAACATTAAAAAAACTATACATTGAATATTCCCATGTGCCTTAAGGGCAATAAGTAAACTATTGTAGTTTGATATTTTGGATATATTATGAGTAGATTTGATAAATGTTTACATTTCACACTAAGCTATTACAGTTTTTAATATAAAATGTACTTGATAACATTCCTTGAAACAGCACACCAAAGTACTCAATAAACTTATTTTATTCAAATGGGGAACACGTTTAAGGGAATATTTCAGCAAGAATCCAATCAGAACATTTAAAATTTGCTTAGTCTGCAGGTTTGCTGTGGCGGTGGTATTTTAATATTCAACGCACCATTGCCTGAGTTGAGAGATATCCAGGAAGGTTTGACATTCAAGTCGCACCCGGAGTTTGTGCGTTATGTTTGGGATGTAATATGAAATTAACACTGATGAACCCTTTTTAGCAAGGGTCGTTATAAAATCATCCCTCATTGATATTCTCTTCAAGGTTATCAATTGAGCTTACAAACAGCGTTGTGTACAATGTATGAAATGATTGAGTAAAAAGTTATATCACAGTAAAAATGTTGACCAACAACTATAGTTAAATACTAAACATAAACCTGTAACATAATTTACAATTCTGTAATGCTAATAAAACTCCAACAAATAAAATTTTCAAAGTATCAAAGTATATTAACCAATGACCTCTCAATTTTTAGAGAGGTTATAATAGCTTAGTAACTTTGGAAACACCATGAGGGTTTAAAAATTTAAAATAGGCCTATGTTCTTCGGTGGTATATAGCTCATTTTCTTACAAAATTTCAGCTCAATTTAATTAGTAGTTTTCACGTTATTCGCGTGACAAAAGCACTAACCAAACTATGTCACGTTTAAATATTAGTAAAATGTATTTTTTTCTTTATTCAATCAAAATGGTGTTTAAACTTCCAGGGTTGGTCAGTTCTTGAAAAGAATTATGGTGACTTGAGGCTTCTACCCCTAAAGGGAAAAGTTATACAACAAATTTATAAAAAAACTAACTTGATTGCATAAATTAATCCAGTTTAATAAACAACGCGTTATAATTTGACAAGAAGCAGGATAGCATAAATAAAATTCTGGGAAAATGCTATTTAATTTGCACAAGGAAAATGTGTACAACCTGTGGTTGGATTCAACTAAAACTTTTACCTTGCAAATCTAGATTATGTAGTGTCTGCATTAAAGCTTTTAGTTTGTTGTTGTCAGTTCCAAGTCTTATTAGACATATTTTTACAAATTCAATTATTTTGTCCGAGTCGCCAAAAATAACACGAACATGGCGATTCCTTCGGTTAGCTAGACCTAGAAATATGTTTACCCAGAATTAACTGACATTTCCCAACCATATAACAGTAAAAACATTCTATAGTCCGTTCATAAAATTTAGGCTGTTAAGGGGGAAGGTGTCCAGTTTTCCCCACTACTTTTTTAGCTTAATATATCAGCTGATCAGCTATCAGCTGTTGTTTCAAGTTATGGTGAGGGGGGGGGGGGCGGAATTGCTTTCCCTCAAACAGCCAAAATTTTCAGAACGGAGTATAAGTGAGCAAATGTAAACCTTTTAGAAAGTAAATAAGGCAATTCTTGGCAGAATTATCAAAGATTAGACACATGACATCAGAACATTTTAATATACATGAAACTACATCACAAAAGCTGATTAGCTGATTCAAACGTGTAACATTGACAACAACAAGTACGTAAATTACATTTCAAAACTCAAATACCATGATTTGCTCTTTGTGATTTGCTACAAATTGTCATGAAGCACGTTTCTCACCGTAGACCACAAGCCAAGGGTGAACCAGTACGCAATCTGCCACACCAGTTCCATGCTGAACCCGTTGAACACACCCAAAATGCCCAAACTGTAAGCAACGAACTCAGCTGTGCTTGAAACACTGTAGCGAACAGTTGTTGGAATATCATTCTTATCATAAGAAACTTGGTATTTCGTAGCTCGTTGGTCATCATAGTCATCACCAATAAGAGGATCCGTTGCGTAATCAATTGTCACACATTCTGTAGGACAATCACACTTGCATCTCTTGTGTTTAAACGCATGCCAGGATAGAAACATGTTCCTCTCAATACAATAATCAGAAACTTTGTTGCTACAAATATCAAACGATCCGTTGCAAATCGCAAGGTGGTACGGAACGCAACCACATTCCGCAATGGAACAGTTTATTTGGCATTCAAAAAGACAGTTTTGATAAGTGTAAAAGGTGAAAAGAGACAACGTCTTCTCGTGGGAAAATATACAGAATCTTTTCATAACGTCCACCTCGAAAAGGCTTTTCTTTATAGTGGTGATGGACGGCGTTAAGGTGGTGGTAGAAGTCGCTGCCTTGGCGAAGAAGATATGATGATTAGTTGTTATCGATGGATACGTGAAGCTGTTGTGAACAAATACTGTATACTTTTCAGACACTCTTTTAGATTCGTTTATGTGAGTTATGTTTTCATTTTCGTCATCTTTTGGACTAACAGAAGCGAGCTGCGTAAAACCTGCATCGTCAAATTCAATCTCTAAAGATTTATCTGTGTATAACAGATTTTGCTTGCAACCATTTTCCAACACATTTTCAGGACTACATTGGGTGTTTTTACCATGAGCATTTTTAAGATCATTCCTTACCTTAATTTTTGCATCCTGAGGACCGTGGCTTACAGCATTGAATGTTTGGCATATTTTGATTCTATCCCTTAGGTATGCCCTAGGTGCCATAAATATCCTTTGACTGTTTAAACTACTAAGTATAACCGTGCCATTTGAACTATTTTCAAAGTCTGCATTGTAAATTTTCAACCCAGTCAGACGTTGTTTCCCCAGTTTCTCGATGTATTTTAGATACACGCTCGCACTGAAAGTTTGATTAACATTGACTGGAAACGACTTTACAGAGTGATCAAATATGGGAAGATACAGTTTTTCAAAAACAATCCTATCACTTTTGTTCATCGCCAGTAGATCATATTCAAACGGTGTTATATCAGTTGATATTCTTAACATATTCAGTTCATCTTCATTGCACAGCCAAGAAACACCGTTTCTATTTGACAAGCATCTTTGCAATATTTCAAATCGATTGTAGTCATCTTTCAATTCCAAGTTCTCGCAAACTGTGACAGCTGGGAACGGCACGTCTTGGGCTCTTGTATAAGAGTTGCTCAGCGCTGTCAAGGTGTTTCGCCATTCGTCATATGCATCGTGGATGTACAATGCGCTGATGAGAAGTGCTACTAAATGAATCAACAAGCTTGCCATGATATTCAACTTGGGAATCCTTTCAAAAAAAGCGTTTCGCACCCTAGGTAAACTGATGTTGCGGATTTCTTCGAGGTAGGATTTGTGCTGTCTAGGAAACATTAAATAATCTTGAGTAGCTTTCATTTCCTCTACTCTAATAGAAACAAACTCCAGTTTCTCGGACAAAAGTGACAGCCGGGACGACACTTCATTTGGTAAGCTAAGCTCTGTATCATCTTGATTCATGACGATGACTCAAATCGCGAGTAATCTCAGAATCTTGTCAACGAGGAAGAAAACGTTGCTTAGTTAGAAGTTGTTGAGTTTTCTTCTTGACTTTTTACTTTGGTTTGTATGTAGATATTTTTACATTCTCTGAAAAATAAGCTAAACCCAGGAAATGATTTTAAAACTACACCTATGCTTTTTAATTACCACTATACACAAACACTACACAATGATGAGAAGTAACGGACTAACTCTATATCAGGGAACGTTATGACCTTGCATGTCTCTTAAAATTACTCCCACTGATGAAATGAGTGTTAACTAAAACATGTCGATTAATTATTCAGTGCTGTATCTTCATAAGCAGATTACACAAACATACAAGTAAAAGAAAAAAAACTTTGACCTAGTAGATAATCATATAAAGTGATCCATATAGTTTATTTATTACACGGTATTAAATATTCTGCTCTTATTTAGGATAATAAATTATTTCTTTAACGTAGTTTAAAACATTGTATAGTGATCACAACACCTGTTGTGAACATATTGTTAGCAAAATAGATTAGTTACCTTTTGTTGATTAATAAATTAGATTAATAAATAAATTTGGTGACTGTGATCATGTTAATTTTTTTATAGGAAAGAAGATACTAACGTAGGGGTTACCGTAACACCTAGACCCATAGTATCTCCGTCCATTTTAGTTTTTTTTTTTTTCGTGATTTTTCTTATGAAACTCATAAAATACCGGATGGACTCATTTTAACGATAAAGTTTATGATTAACATTTAGTATGTTAAGAGTCCTTTTAACCCCAAAAATGGCATGACAAAATGCTATAAAGGTACGGTTCATTTGGCTTTTGCGGTTCTGTCTTTGACTATTGATACAACTAGGCACTCCATCCCCATGTTAAAGTTGTCGCCAGTTTTAAAATCAAACTCGTCATAGTTGAACAACGGCAAATTGCACTGATATAAATTACTAATTTCTGTCAAATAGGTGAAATTTTTTACCAAGTCAAACTAATGGAATAACCCATTGTGAGCTCTGTTAAAAAGAAGGACATTTTTCATGGTTTTTGTAGCCTCGCTGTTCTTGGGTAGCTTTTAATGTTACATCTGAGTAACATTGCTGGCTAGAGTAACATCTGATCTTAGTCAGTAAAAAAGCTACACAGATCACTTCACTCAAATCTACCCCCACCCTCCATTCGTATACCTATACAACTATAAGTACGACTACAATGTACACCACTGTTTAATAAAGCGACGATTTTCTAAAACCACTCAATTGCATTTGAAAATAGTTCAAAATTCACAAATAATGCAGTATGCGTCTAAATTTGAGGCCTTTGTGTGTTTCCGATGCATAATTGTGAAATATTTTGTCAATGGTGTTTGGATTTGTATATGGAAGTTCTTAAGGTTTTAAAATTAACAAATAAACTTCTTTGACCGAAGAATACTCCGAAGAATATCTTACTCCAGTAATCTTCAAAGGATCTTCTTAGGCAGTTTTAGCATAGATGAAGTAATATAATATTATATTACTTCATCTATGGTTTTAGTTTTCAGGCAATAACATTTCCTATGCAGCGACATAAAGTACATTTCTGCAAAAAAAATCCAACTTCCTTTATGGATCCAAAGTTCCGAGACGTTTTCAACGCTTTGTTTTCCTGTCTCAGATTTGTTTCGTTGAAAAATCGCAAGTATTACAGAGAAGTTTCGCGAAGAACGTAGGTTACTATTTGAGGAGAGATTGTTTCTCTTGTGTAGGGTGAAGAAAAAGTATCCTCGTCTGTTACTAGGGGAACGTATTGAAATCAGGCTCGTTCTGTGGTTATAGCGTGCATGAGTTGAATATCAAGTGGATCACAACTATGGTGGAGTTCTTGTGACATTGTGTCTATGGTAGTTCTGTGGTTATAGCGTGCATTAATCTGTAGTATCAATACTTGTGACATGGTGGATAGATATGTTAAGTGGTTAATAAAAATGAGGGTTTATGGATATGCGAGTAACAAGTTTATAACAACAAAAGCGGGGATGTTTTAATTTTACACATTTCCCAATATATCGGCAGAGTTTGTTTTCGATATTGAGACTTAGAGCCAACAGCTGCTAAACTATAGTATACAGTAGTAGTACATTACACAATTATAAATTGACACTACTCCTACTTAACCATATAAATCTTTGCAGAACTACCTGAACCAACAGGGAACAACGTATTGTTACAGTTTCTACAATAGCACAGATTTATACTTAATATCGTACTAACCATTTCAAGTAATTTATCGTTTAGAAATTTCAAAATATACGGACCAATAACATAAACAACAAAAACAATTGAATCGGAGGTTGAGTTCAAAAATACCTTTATAATCTCCACACGCTTTCGGAAAGGTTTATAAAACGATAAAGATGAGAGTTTACGGGGGTGAGGAGACGACAATAGAATAGTCTTCACTGTAACAAATGTTTCCAATATTGGTGTGTGAGTGTGGGACTTGAAAAGTGGAAAATATCGGTCCAAATCTCACAGCTGTTGATATAGGTTTTAAATTTGAGAAATATTTCTATTTTTGGTTGTTATTTAACATTTTGCACCTATGTGGTTAGGAGCAGCTCCTGGAAATATAATTTAGAGGTCTCGGTTGAGTAATATGACTTTCTGGAAAAAAAGAGTATGAGTCATATAGTGAAGGATTTCCATCCACATGATAGGCTTCACCAGAATGGTTAACTCAATAACTCAACTCTGAAATCTATAAAAAGCAGTGACTACTTCGGATAGATAGGTAGAAATGGTTTTACATTGTCAGTCAGTTGCAAATCCTTTCCTTTTGTAAGATTCTTGGAATTTTTTGGATAGTATTTAAAATTATGCACTTGGCTGCATGCATTTAAAATTATCTTACGTATATCTGTCCATATTAATTTTTTGAACAACTTCTCAGTTAATATAGTTTATCTTTAGCTAAGGAGTAGGGTTAGACATTCCACTTTAATGTTGAGTTTTCAACAAGTTTTATAAAATCAAAACGAATTATTGAAATTGAGCTACCTACGAAGTGTGCTGATATAAATTACTGATTTCTGTTAAATCACCAACTTCATGGCACAGCTTATGGTTACCATAAAGATGGTAACATAAACATGTTCATAAAAGTATGTAACATCGAATACAGAATAAAAATATAAAAAATTGTGGTGGTAATAGAGTTTTAGACACATTCAACTATGTACAAGTTTAATACAGTTGGTCCAAATAGATGGAACCTCTACTTCAGAATGCAATAGTCAATAATCGTAATTGACATTTCAATGTGAGATTCACCACCGTAACTTTATTACTAATCTTTCATATTAAAATCAATGTTATTAGTTCGCTTTATGTAGAAAAGTTTATTAAATAAATATCTAAATTAGTATCACTATTGGACGAATAACCGTGAATGTAGTGAAATAGTTTGAATTCTAACAAAACTCGTGGAAGTTTGGTTTTCCAGGTTAACCCACAACAGCCAACGGTTGATTCAGTTGCTAATCTGATTTGCCTTTGTTCAACAGCGAGATTGTTGTTGTTGTTGTTTCAAGCTTTGATTGAGAGGCTACGATTGATTACAACCACTTTGATGTGTGTTCTGGTATTGTAGAAACTAACCAGAGGCATGTGCATTCTCAAACTTATTGGAACATATAAAGTAATAAATAGTTTAGGTAAATTCTGAGTGAAACCACACACAATAATCAAATTAGTAATTTATAGTTGTGTAAAATGTAGGATTCATTCTCAACTAAAAAACCAACCACGATTGTTGTTTTCTTGGTAGTTAGACCAACTTTAGAGATTTTTTTATAAAAATGTGAATACAAAATCTTGCAGCTTAGTCATGTAAAATAATAATTACCTGAAAAGGAGCTACTTAAAAATACGTATACATATTTATCTATAGTATCTTGTATAATCGTTTAAAGATAATAATGGTTTCAACAGGTATAAAATAAAGGACTCTATGAAAATAAATTTTGCTAACCATTGTTAGAAAGGTGATAATTTACCAATTTTTTTCCATTCCACATCCAAAGGAACAAAGTAAATACACATTTTATTTCTGCTAAGGTAGGAATCACAATAATACCTCATAAACTATTAAGCATTTTACATAATTTAAAGCATCTTAGACCATATAATAATGTACAAAATGATGATAAAACCGCCACAATTGATCACAAAACTAACACAAACGTATTTCAGGACGTCTTCAAGAGGCGTATATTGGACACATCAGTTACGGCGGCTACGACATCGTCTCCTCTTATCGTAAACTTTTATCTTTATTGTTACGACAATCGTATGAACTGCGAGAACAGAGGCGGTATTTATAAGTGTTGAAAATATTAAGAAGGGTTCGTGGGACACTTTTGTCTGTCGCAGTTGGTGTGAAATGAAAATATTAGAATTTAGGAGACAATTTTGAAATGTAGGCACCTACAATGTAAAATATTATAAAAACCATTTTGATTAGTGCTCTTTTTGTAGGCTATTTTTTGAACATAAATTTAAAACACTTTAATACTTTTCAATGAAATGGTGACCATACTAAGTAGGTATTTTAAGCCAAGTATGAATGGAGATGAGTGTAGGATGAGTGGCGCGATCTTGTAGTCTTGTTAGTGAATAAGGCCGACATATTCCTTAGACATGGCTGTTAATTAATAGCCCATACAGCCAATACCAACTGGAACCTACAGTTTATAGTGAAATCCGAACCACATTATTTCCTTGGTATTTACGAATTGGTCTAATTATCAGGATAATACTGCGGATAGTCGTAGTACTCACTAGTGCGGACTTTAATCCACACGAGGGAGTATCGCATCCACAGTGCATGCCTATAAATATCCACAATTCTTGACCTCAAATTCGTGACAGTCTAGTAGTTGGATAGGACGACGCCACCCGTTCCAGTAAAATTCAAAACCGATTAAAATTATTAACACTTT